TCACAAATGTCTGTGGAACATTTAAAACATAGACTCCCCTATGGCTGGAGAGACGGCACCTTGGAAATGAACCAGTAGTTCACAGACTTGAACCCCCTGGGACTTGCGAATACTCAGATTGCTGGTTCCCATTTCTATAGTTTCTGATTCAGTAGGTCTAAGGGGGAGACCTGAAATTTTCCATCTCTAACAAGTTCCCAGTGAAGGTGATGGCTCATCACACACTGAGAACCACCGAGGAAAAGTTAAACTAGTCATTACCAACTCTGGCTGGTCATCAGAATCACCTGGAAAATATTTAATAAATACCAGGGCCCCACTTCATATGTAGTGAACCAGGGATCCTCTACAGTCTAGACCCTTCTGTCTAGCTCTAGGTCTCATGATGCCTCTGAAAGACGAGCCTGGGACTGGGCTCTTATAGTGAGTGGGATTTGGAGTAAGCTAGAGGAAGACACTGGCATTCTGTTTGGGTCAGAATGAGCAGCAACAAGTTCCGGGGCAGGAATCAGCAAGCTATGGTGATGGTTATGGGAACCATGACCCAACTCATCTTAGGTAATATTTATTAACCACTCACTGCATTTATTTATCACCTAAAGAAGTGAGGGAGGGAGATACAATAGGAAAAGAAAAGTGACTTTTGCACAGAGGTGCTTGGGAGAGGCCTGAGGAAACTTCACAAAAAGTTCCAGACAATGTCAGTGCTAGTCTGCCAATATCTATTCCTGTATTCTTTTTATTTTCCCCCAGAACTAAGTCTAAATAATAACAGAAGCATTTCAAATAAAAATCTTGGGGCATAAATTCCTAAGGAATGAAATCCAATGTACTGATGTCTTGGCAAAAAATATGTCCTTAGATGCCATTTCATGGAGGACCTGGTAGAACAACTGCTCGTAGAATATTCAGTTGGTGGAATGGAGTGGAGGAGTTGATCCGTTCCCTCTGGTTACTTCATAAACCAGACATCTTACAGCACAGATACAGACCTCTATAGCTGATCCTCCCTAGAGCTGCTTTCACCAATTATTCAGATATTTCACTTTGGGTTGCCTGCTTTAACTTAGATCATTTTCTTGAACAGATGTAACAGGCAAGAAGCTCCTATTTCTTCAGGAAAAAAGCTCAGCATGTATTCACTGACAGGCACACATAACATGGGCACAATGTGCCTGGTAAGCATCTGTAACGTATAATTTAAAAATTCTTCCAAGAGTTTACTTAACTTGGGCCAACTGACAAGCTCCCTCCTTGCCCCCATCCTTGCAATAGGACTAAACTTCCTTAAGTGTCTTCTATACTACTGTGAATGATGTGATCATGCAGTTGATGGCATGGCTATTGTGGGAATTCTTCCTAGTAACTACAGTTGTTTTATAAAACTTCTTTCCAAGAAAAGTGTAAGTTATTTGAGGTCACACTCTTATATACTTTAGCTACTTACAGCACTTAGCACAGTGTTGAACACATAGTACATTTCTTTTTTTTCCCCCAAAGAAATACACAATAGAATCCCTGGATGGTAGAATTGGTTTGCTCACTGATCAGAAAATGGTGCCTCGAATATAGATGTTTAATAGCTTCACAGCAACCATATTCTAGACTTCCAACATGTCATTCCTAGATTTTTCTTGTGACTTTGATTGTCTCTCTTTTCTATCTAGTTTATTCTATAGCCATAGAATACAGCCAGTATACACCTCACTCCTGTACAGTCACTTAGAGTCAGTAGAAAGAGGGTTGACCCAGAATCAGAGATCTAGTCTTGTTACTTTATATCCATTGAACTAAAACTCCCCATTTCCTCTCCTCCCTCCCTTCACCAACCACTGTTTTATTCTCTAACTCTGTATATTTCACCTTTGTTGCTTTTTATAGAATCCACACATAAGTGAGATCATGCAGCATTTGTTTTTCTGTGCCTGGCTTATTTCATTTAGCAAAATGTCCTCCAGGTCTGTACATCTTGTGGCAAATGGCAAGATCTCTTTTTTAATGGCTGAATAATAGCAGTTAGGTAGGATGAACAAGGCTAGAGATCTAATGTACAACTATAAGGACTATAGTTAATAAATTGTATTAAGGATTTTTGTTAAATAAGTAGATTATAGCTGCTTTTGTCATTTAAAAAGTAACTATGTGAGATGATGATATGTTAATTTGCTTCATTATAGTAAACATTTGGCTGTATATATCTATCTCTTAACATCATGTTATAAACCTTAAATATACACAATAAAATGTATTTTTCAAAAATGGGATGTCTGGGTTTGAGTCTCAGCTGTATCTCGGGCAGCTGGGTGACCCCATACCAATCAGTCAAGTTCTTCCAGCCTCCACTTCTATATCTGAGAAATGTGCATAATGATGTCCATCTTAGCCTTGTCTTATTGCTCTAACTTAACTATTACTAACTTAAAAGCAAAGACTGGGTTTTCTTTGCTTTTAAAATCATCTCTTTCTTTGCCCATTTGGTCTATTTCAAGTTATCTGTTAGAAGAATGAAGGGAACAAAGGGATGATTCTGGGGTTCAGGAGAAATGTAAAAATCAGAATTGTTTTTTGCCATTTTCTTCTATTTTGTATTTTCTTAGCTTAAGGATAGAGTATAGCACCAATGTTTGTGCAGCTAGGGAAACTCCAGGGAAGCTCGGAGACTTTGGGAATTCACTTGCCTGACAGCCATCTAGTGAGGCTTCTAAGCTCATAGCCTTATGTTGTCCATTTTTGAAGGCGCAGAGAAACACTTGCTAGTGAATTATATTTTCTAGGTATTAACAATTCCTTAGAAGTATGATGTGATGTGCTAACATTTCAGATATGATTATTGTGTTTATCATAGGCCACTGAGAGGTAATTATGGGAAGACTTCTATTAAATGCCACAGACTAGACCATTTTCCTGCCTTCTCCTGTCAACAGGTCCCATGTGAAGGTTACTATGGGAAACTCTCCCTACTGAAACAGTAGTCATGTCTGCAGCCTGGGAGGTTCCAGTAACAACACTATTGTGCTCACAGACATGGCCCTCTGGGATTTCATCCAAGCTATAGAAGACTGCCTGGTTGGGGAAAGAGCATTTTATAAACAAAACTAAAAGAACAGGGTGTTCATTTACACTCCTGGGGAAAGAATCCATAAGGGCTATGACTTGGTTGGCTCAACAAAACTGACTGACTTTTGAGTTAATTTGCTAAGGATTATAGATGGTCCCTGACTTACGATGGTGAACCTATGATTTTTGACTTTACAATGGTGCAAAACCATTGTGTTTTCACTTTCAGTACTGTATTCAATAAATTATATGAGATATTCTTGTAATATTACATGATTATAAATATCAGATTCTAAAGATTATAAAATAGGCTTTGTGTCAGATGATGTTGCTCAACTGTAGGCTAATGTAAATGTTCTGAACATGTTTAGGTAGAGTCATTTTCCAGTCATTTCTTGGGGCCATTTTGTATGAAAAGTAGAATCTAATCAAGATGCAAGTAATATGAGAAGCACCAAGGTAATTTTAAAGAGCAACATTTGGTATAAAAATGAGTGTTTAACCAGGAGACTGATGATGCTTGTCTTGGTATAGGAATCACAGAGCACAATAGTGACCAGAACTTTCAAACTCTTTGAATTGAGGAATTGCTCTGAAGCAAAACCATAGAAATAAGCAGAAGGAAGCTAAGAAAGTGTAATGTCTTACATTGGGTTTTCTAGAAGCAGACCCTGATATCAGGATTTAGGTGCATGAGAATTATTGAGTTGACACTCCGGATATTCTCAGGAGAAAAGGAGCAAGGAAGCCAGCAGAGCAGGGGAAGGAACAAGCCAAGGGCGGGGGCTAAGCTTAGTTTCAACCTTGCTTTTGGACTTCCCAGCCTCTGGAACTGTGAGTGTGTAATCAGCGTGGAGAGATCTGGTGTATAAAAAGCACTGTAGAGTCATGTCTTGAGGCAGGAGGGTCTGCTTTCAGCATCCCCCCAGCTGTGGGCTGCAGGGAGGTAGGGAGGAAACAAGGCAACTCCCTTTGACCAGAAGCAATTCTCTGGAGAAGGGGACAGCTGTGAGCACCTAGCATTTGGGGGAGGAGCCCAATAAAGAGAAGGTGAGTAGGGGGCACCACCAGGATCTACTTTAGTTGCTTACCCAAAGCCACAAATTAGTTAGTGGCACAATCGAGACTAAAACCCATCTCTCAGCCTTGGCACTGCCTTGTCAAGTCTACTTTTTACAATGGCAATACCTACCAGTATGCCATTCTTTATGAAGCATTTTCAGAGCTACTATTTCATGCCCACCATAATCCTGGGAGATAAACAAGGGCAGATATCTGTGTTCTCACTTCATGAATGAGGACATGGGGGCTAAGAGAGTGATCTGGCCCAAGGTCATGCACCTGGAAGCAACATAGTTGTGAATAGAACTTTGTTCTGTGGGATAACAGCACTGTTTACAGGTCAGAAGTGATATCTAAGAGAGAGCACAGTCTAGCTCTTAGTATCTGCTGGGCACAAGCTCATTGTCAATTTGGTTTTGTTCTGTCTCTCATTTGCTTTGTCATTTGAGCCTCAAACAATGACCCTCATCTGAACAGGGACTTGCTCGAGGAACATGTAAGTCCCTTGTCATGTATCACCAGCCCTGGAGTGGGGTTTCTGGTTTCCATTTCTAACTTTTGATACCCACTCTTAGTAATAAGAAAAAAAGTCTATTTTTATAAAATGACTCAAATGTCTCTGGAAACATTTATAATGTTTGGAATGTTGTGTTTTAATAATTTCCTTATCTGTATGAAGTAAGGAATTTTAATGCAAGTGCTAATATGAAATTCCTCATCACTGTGGGGTTTAAATTTTGCTTTAGGTTTTCCTTGCATTTAAATTTAATCACAGTTGATCCTCAAGCGAGCTGAATTTGCTATAACTTCCTCGGCTTATTGCTTATTTATGGGGTGCTCTCTCTGATTTTCATCTTATCTTTCTCCTCCATTTCCTTCAGCCTCAAAACCTTCCTTATGACCTAATGGTTTCCTGCACAGGCATCTGGATATCCACAGCCTGCTCCAAATTCTGCTGTGAAATGTTCATATCTTTGATGAGGTCACCTGCACAAAGGCATCAGGAAGTTGCGGAGTGAGATGATGTTAGTTCCAGACCACAGTCCACCTTGCACTGACCCTGTAATCTTGTAGCAAAAAAAATCATGGGTGTTTACAATTGTCCATACCCTTTGACCTAGCAATTATATCTCTTACATCTATCCTAGAGAAATAATTGTAGATATGCCCAAAGGTTTGGTTATAAGGATGTTTATGACCACAATTTTTACAAGAAAAAAAATATTGTTTAAGGCCTGCTCAGTGGCCTGTTTTTGTTTCCCCCACATTCATATGTTAAAGCCCTAACCCCCAATGTGATAGTGTTCAGAAGTGGGAGCCTTTGGGAGGTGACTAGGTTTAGATGATGTAATGAGGGTAGAGCCCTCATCTCCCTCTCTTCCTCTTTCTGTAATATGAGGTGGGAAGATACAGCAAGAAACATCTGCAAGCCAGGAGAGTGTCCTCACCAGGAACCTTGATTTTGGACTTCCTAGCCTCCAGAATTGTGAGAAATAAATATCTATTGTTCAAGCCACCCAGTCTGTAGTATTTTGTTATAATAGTCAGAGCTAAGACGTATATGATAAAATACTATACATCAGTGGGGCTCAAACCAGAAAGCTTGTTAAATAAAACACAGATTGCTGTTCCTCCCCACCCCCTCAGAGTTTCTGATTCAGTAAATCTAGGATGGGGTCTAGGAATTTGTATTTCTATCAAGTTCCCAGGGGATGGTGATGCTGCTGATATTTGGACCACACTTCAGGAAGCACTGCTATACAGGAATATGTGATGACATAATCTCTTTATATTATTACCCTTAAAAGATAATTTATGTGACAAAAAGTACTTTAAACCTATTTTGTGAATTAATACCAATATGTCAAAAGTTGAACGGTGGTTAACTTAGTTATCTTTGAGTGGTAGGATTATGGAGGTGGGGTGCATAGTATCTTCTCTCCACACCTCATTTTTTTGCATTGATTCAAAACTCATAGACTTGAGTTTAATCCCATCCTTAGGTCTCATCTACTGGATGATCTTGAGCAAATTAGCTAATTCACAACAGCCAAAGCTTCCTCGCCTGTAAACAGATAATGACACATACCTCAAAGGTTATTTTGACTATTAAGGAAAATAATGTAATCTTTATGTATTCGTTCATTTAGCACATATCTGGGAACCTCTACTATACCCCAGGCACTAGGCTGGGGACTGGAGGTGAAATGATGGAAGACTCAGTGTTTTGACCTCACACAACTTCAAGTTTATTGAGGAAAAAAGATATTCAATCCCCCTCATCGTTCTCCCCATACAGACAGACAGACTTCAGTGATAGTATATCTTAAAATAATTCTAATTTTCCAAATTGCTGATTGATAGGGGTCTCCATGGTTTTTCCAATTATGAAGGAATACAGTTCTGGATTCTTCTAAGCAGCTAGTCCTTCCAGAACAGTTTGATTTAAACAGAACTTTTCAAGAACAAGGTTGCTATATGAAGTGAGTCAAATGTCCCTCACAATGTGCCATTCCTGGACTGTAGGTGTGGCCCTGTCCCACCCTGGGTGAAGGGCCATCCCTGCTTTACAGAGGGCTTGGGACAATTAAAAATTCCTGACAGAGAGTCCCCAAACTCCCTCATGCAAAGTGAGTCTGATTCCTTATTGAACTTTCCACGCACGGCTCAAGGAGAAAAGTAACCTCTCCCTCCCCTACCCGCCCAAGAACCCGGAAGTAAATGCCTTCTCTGTCCATCAATGAAGGCACTTGGGGCAAACTTCTTGACATGACAAACCAGTATTTGAATGTTTGAGATCCTCAAGACATGTTGTCTAAAAACCACACAGCAGAGGGGAGCACAGGCCTCCAGTATCGGCTCTCACCCTGGAGATGCCTTGCTAATAGAAGAAGATTCTTTGGAGCTGTGGTCATGATGAAATTGGCCCTCCCTTGTGGGGAGTGGGAGAGGCCCCAGGATATGATTTATCATGGGCAAACCCTCACCTTCCGGGCACTGCCCTTCTCAGCCTCCCTCTGGGCCAAACCTCTGGCTTTATCTTTTGATAAGGCAGTCTGTTTACTCTACCTGCCTCTGTGCCTGGGAGGTGCCTCGCAGCAGCAGCAGCCGGCAGTGGGAGTGTTTTACTGCCCTCACTACAATCTCTGGGCCTATAACTATAAAAAGAAAGAAGCTGGATTAGCCCTTTCAAAAAAAAAAAAACCCAAACCATAAAACTTATACAACTTCAAAATCAAAAATACAAAATAATTACTATATTTTAGGAGACCATTTTTCACCAGGTATCTTAGGCTTTATATTTCCTGGCCTTTATTGAACTTCCAGAAGAAAGTTGTAAAAATGCTCACCAAATGTCACTGTGAAAGGAAGGGAACACAACTCATGAGACAGAGGTCAGTAAAAACCATGGTGGATATAAATACGATGTCATTTCCATTTAAGGGACTATTAACATCTAAGTGAGAACTATGGTGAAAAAGGAACCCTTACAATTTTGTAAAATACAGAGTTGACTTTGCTATAGGGCTCTAGTCCTATAATATATGATTTAAAAGATAACCAGTCTAAGAATCCATTTTTAAATTGAGATATAATTCACATATCATAAAATTCATGCTGTTAAAATATATAATTCAGCAGTTTTTAGTAGGTTCACAAAGTTGTTCAATCATTACCAGTTTCTAATTCCAGAATATTTTCATCACCCCATGAAGAAACCCCATACCTGGTACAATGTGATGTTTTGATATATGTTTATAACATGGAATGATTAAGTCAAGTTAACTAACATACCAATTACCTCACTTATCTATCTTTTTTTTCGGGTAAAACGTTTGAAATATACTCTTAGTTATTTTGAAATACACGTGATTGTTTACTATAGTCACCCTACTGTGCAATAAATCTCAAAACCTACTTATCCTGTCTATCTGAAACTTTGTACTCTTTGATCAACAACTCCCTATTCGTCTCCACCACCCCGAGTCTCAGGGAATCATCATTTCACTTTCTACTTTTTTGAGTTCCAGTTTATTAGATTCCATATATAAAAGTGAGTTCATGCAACACTTGTCTTTCTGTACCTGGTTTATTTCACTTAGCATAATGTCCTCCAAATTCACCCATATTATTTCAGATGGCAACATTCCCCCCTTTTTAAGGCTGAATAGTACTCCATTGTGTATATATACCAAATTAAAAAAAATTAATTTAAATATATATTCATTCATTCATTGAAAAACTCCTGAGTAATGAAAGGATATTTCTGTATGAATGTGTTAATAAAAGCATGTGTTAATAAAATTGAGCATATAAATATGTTGTTAATAGCTAATTTGTACTAAGCACTAACCATAACACAATATATGTGTTAATAAATTTAATTCTCACAGTAATGTGATAACAGAAAAAGAAAGATAATTACAGAAAAAGAAAATTAAAATCACTCATGGGTCCTTCTTATTCAAGATTACCACAAAGAATATTTCGGTGGTTTTCCTTTCAGTCTTTTTGACATTATTTATTTTTAAGTTTATCTTTTTCCTTGGACTGTGAATGCCATTTGTTTTATTCCTATCTTTCCAAAAAGCCTGTCACTTAGCAAATATCCAATGAATGTTTGATGTAATAAATTGATTAAGTTTGAATGGCAGAATATTTTAAATTCCACAGTATTTATATGATTTATAGAAATAATGGATAATGTGCTTAGAAACAGTTGCTTCATGTCAAGAGCCAATCTTAGTTTTGGGAACTAAATACATGCTTAATTTTGAAGAATTGGCCATTAGAAGATAACTTTTAAAGTTTTTGGTGGGGAGAAGGTTATAGAGGCTGTTGTGGTTCCATAAGAAAAGCCAGAGACCAGCCAGGCATGGTGGCTCACGCCTGTAATCCCAGCGTTTTGGGAGGCTGAGGCAGGAGGACCCCCTGAGCCCAGGAGTTTGAGACCAGCCTGGACAATGTAGTGAAACCCTGTCTCTACAAACAATAAAAAATTAGCTGGGCGTGGTGGTGCATGCCTCTAGTTCCAGCTGCTTGGGAAACTGAGGTGGGAGGATTACCTGCTCCTAGGGTGCAGGATCACCTGCTCATTCGAGGCTGCAATGAGCCGTGATCATACACACCACTGCACTCCAACCTGGGTGACAGAGTGAGACCCTGTCTCAAAAACAAAAAACATTTAAGGAAAGAAAAAAAGAAAAGCCAGAGACCAGAACTCAAAGTCTCTGGGATTTCACAGAGAAGGTGGCATTAGTTGACTAATCAAACTTCCATAGACACAGCTCTTTTATTGCTTCATGTACATTGTATGCTTAGTGTTGTGTTCAGCTGCAAATAATTGAAAACCCAACTTGAATGACTTAAACCTACAGGTTTTTTTTTTTCTTATGTAACAAGAATTTTGAAGATAGGCAGTTGTCAATGTTCAGATCAAAGCTGTGCCCCATTCTGGCTGGGTCCATGTCTGTGCAGTTCTCTTAGTCTTTCCCTCATTTTCATGGTAACAAGCATCCCTTCTGCATTCAAGCAGGAGGAAAATAGGAAGAGAAAAGGGAAAGGCCACACCAGCTGGCTCAGTCTCCTTTTATTGTCATGGGATCTTAGGGGTGTCGCTTTTCTGGCCAGAAACCTCTGTGGCTGGTGGTGCCTTTGCCTGACTTTTGCTCAGGCCTGCTCAGCTCGTTCTGCTCACTTGGCCTGGCAGGCTGTGCTTGGCTCACCCTACCAGCCTGGATTCCACACCTGCCAAGGGGGAGCCAGGCAGGGAGTGGCGGGGGTGTGTGAATGAGCAAGCCTGGGGTCTGGCCACTGCACACAGTCAGGCACGCTGGGTGCTGCAGTGGGGCAGGCAGCTCAGGGTGCTGAAACAGACACTGGCTGTCTGCGAGGCTGTGGCTTGATCAGGTGCATGGCAAGCAGCTTCCCCAGCTGGCACCAGGGAATGTGGTGGCGTTCAGAAGCTCAGCGACACCAGAAACCACAGGACCCCCAAGAGGAAGTCACAGCCCAGGCTCGGGGAGCTCCCGGGTCTGGGCTCCCTGAGTGGCTGCATCTCTTCTCTCCTTCTCTTCACCCACAGCGTGGTGAGCATGGGGCACATTTCAGCCCTGTTTATGTTATAGCTCTTTTAGTTCTGCCATTTGGTAGGTCCTGAGTCCTTATCCTGCAACCAAGAAGAATGAGGTACGCAGATAAGTGGAGGGTGAACAAGAGGAAGAGGAACTTTATTAAGCAATAGAACAGCTCACAGAAGACCTGCAGGAGCAGCTCCTTTCACAGCCAAAGTGTCCCATTGAGTGTTCAGCTCTTAGCAGAGGGGAGACCCTGGAGTGGGAAGTTCCTTTCTGCAGGCAGTTCATCCCATCATCTCTGGACGTCTCTGAAGCTCTTACCAGAGAGGAGGCCCTAGAGTGGGTAGCTCCTCTATGCAGCTGGTCATCCTGATGTCTCCTGCTATTAGCAGAGAGGGTGAGAGGATAGGTCCTCTCTGCAGATGGTAGTCCCCTCGTCTGCTCTGCCCTGTCTGCGCCTAGGGCTTTTATGGGGAAAAGCCAGAGGGGAAAGTGTGTGCTGATTGCTTCATGTGCAGCCATGGGCGGGCCCAGGAAAAAGCACCACAACCCCCCTACTCTGGTCCACAGGACTGGAAGCTGGGTCCCCAGGCTTCAGGTCTTCCCCAGCCTGAAGGTGGGGCTTCACTGGGGACCCACCCCCTTCTGCCCAGGAACCTGTCTGCCTCCCACTGTTGCTCATGGTGCCTGGGCTCGGCCCAACTTTGATCCAAAATTGGAGCAGGTGCCAA